TAGTTTTAAGAATATTGAAAAGATTTGGAAAAATTTGAGGGAAGAGAAAAAAAGATGAGAAATTTAATAGTAAAATGTATTAAAAATTTTTTATAAATAATGAAAAAAAAAATTTTGAAAATTAGAAAGAAGAGAGGAGTAGATAAAGGGCGGAGTGGTGGGTTGGGGGGGGGGGGGGGTTGGAGAGGATTGGGAGCAAGTGGTGTATGTGACGCTGTTCTATGTTGAATAGCTTCGGTTACCCACATGTTATAGAATGCACGCTGCTTTCTGTCGATGGCGAAACAATGCACAAGTCGGCGCCGTGTCTTGCACTTGGTGTCATGTTTGCTAGTCTTAAGCAGGTTGCATTGACGGTTGGTTGTTGTGCACATGTATCGACAGCGGTGGCGAGCAGCAGTCGTAGGGATGTCCCAAGGAGCGTCGCCAACTTTTGGCATTGTAGCATATGGTTTCATAGCCGGTAGATACAAAGCAAAACACGGAATCCACACACCGCAGCAAGGTTACCCGGTGTGTGTGGGACACACGTTGGTTGTTTGACCTTTGCACTTTTAGACTAATATTATAAAACAAATCTTGCGTTGTCAGCAAAATCACTTCTGCGTCGCGTGTCCACAGAGCTTCAGGTCCACAACCGATGCTCGTTTCAGTGCTGAAGAACGTTTGGCAGGAAGGACAATATGATCGGGTTAGCAGCTCGCTCGTTGAACAGCTCCTCTCGGCTCTCTTGACTCGTCGCATCTCTTTTACGAAGCCGAAATCCCGTCGCCCGCCTCTGCCTTCGCGAATCTCCCTCTTGGGTTGCCCCGTCTCGTCCCTTGCGAACCCCAATCCCGCTCCCTTCCGTTCCTTCGATGTGTGGCGATGTTGATGCACACCCGACCAGACCCCCTCTACACGAGGCTGCAGCTTTCAATCTCGTGCAAAGGGCTGGTAAACATGGACACGTTTTCCAAGTCGGACCCTTTCGTGGTAAGTACCGTAAGCTCAGGGGGCTTTACCCGGCCATACCTCTTTTGCAATTGCTTGGCTTTCGCGGGGGAGGGGGGCGAGAGAGAGCAGGTCTAACAATGCTAAGAATTTTCCTTGGGTGGGTGTTCCCGTCGTCTCACATCGATCCCCAAAGAAACGGATTTTTGAAAAATATCTCTGGAACGAGCAGTCCTTTGTGGCGTTTTCGCTGTGCACTTCTTTTGGGGATCAAGGTTTCAAGACTGGAAATAGATGGTAACGTGAAACTTGAAACGGTGTCAGGTTCTTTCCTGCCGCGCAGTGTTTTGCCCCTGGCAGTGTATATGCCTTTCCACATGCAAATATACATACTCGAACTGTATAGCTGCGCCACTCCACTTCTTCTGCTTCTATCACTTGTTTCCCATCGCCGCGACCACCATAACTTGTCCTACTGCTGTAAACGTCTACTGCTACCCCTTCACTTCTGCAACTTCAAATAAGAATGCCAATCTGCTAGGCCAGGAAGAGGGCATGACACAACCAGCCAAGGCTTCGGGAGCAAACCATTACTTATTGCTCCGGATTCTCTACCGTGCTCGGCATCGAGTGAAGCCAAGCCCATACAACCGACACCTGATGCTAGGAGCACACCTCGCCCGGTTGGACTATCTATGCACACAGCCTTGCATCGCCTCTTCGTCGAATGCTTTCTTTCACAGCAGTGTTGCGTTTTCTATTCCTTGTCGCGAGCAGTCAGTTCATGTCTTCAGTTGACAGAGCAATCCACCTTCTGTTTCTGCACATGCAGCTCTGATCCAAAACTCCGAGGCCACACGGACTGGACGTGAGCTTCCCGCCCTGGTCCTGTACAGTCTTGGATCTTTGCTTGCCGTTCCTTCGGCGCCACGGTATCAAGTTCCACCTCCGTACGGTAGAGAAGAAGCGATAACTCCTAGTGATATTACGCTGACTTAAACTGCAGTTTTCTCTTGCCAGCGCTGTGAGTCTATATTTCGATAGCTCGTGGATTGCCACACCAGCATCATCGTTATCGCACAATGCTTCTTTTTGTTTTGTGTTTACTCAGTTGGTGAAGCTCCACTCCCCCTCGGACAGCAACGAAAGCAAGGAGATCGGTCGGACGGAGATCATCTCCAACAGCCTCGACCCTAACTTCGTCACCATCGTGCCGGTGGTGAGAGAGAAACGCCATCCAATCAAGAGCAGGGAGGGGGGGAGAGAGAGCCCATGCAATCATAGTGTCGATACAGCAGTGCCAACCGTGAAAAGAATAGAGTGGGGGCAGATGGGAAGACCAAGGTAATTAGGGAAGGGACAAGGGGGCGGGCATTGTTCGTATGTTTCGGGGAAAGTAGAGATCGGAGAGAGATAAGAGACGAAAGTAGTACCGCTTAAGGTGGGAATTTGACTATCCATACGAGCGAGGAGCCTTCGAACCGTTCAGGAGGTGGAAGGGGCTGGAGATTGTACGGCAGGATAGGGTCATTGTCGGAAGAGCGCCCCCCCTTCTCGCGTTCCAGCCACCGGTATCAAGTCTCAGGTAGCACGGTGCATGCTGTCATCTACAGAGGTATCTCCTGGGTGGCTCTCCTGGAGGGATGCCGGCACGATGTTTCACTCAACCATGTCGAAAACTCCACCATATGTCGTCGCAGCAATAGTCGCACTGTGTTTTGTTTTCCCCGATTTTGTTCTTGTCTGGTGCCCCCCTGTTTTTTGTAAAACCATTTACTCGGTTCTTACAACCACAAACCCCACACAGACTTTCAAGTTCGAAGAGGTCCAGACTCTCCGCTTCGAGGTGTACGACGTGGACACGGCTTACTCGTCATCGGACGCCACGCTCATCGACCCATCAAAGCAGGTGTGGGTTACCCTTTGGCCCACTGGGTGTGGAGTCTCATGGCCCACAACGCATCCGCGGAACTCTGTACTATGCGCGTGTGCCTCTCCGCCGCTTTTCCATGCCAACGCGGGAGGAGCATTTATCCTTCTCCTCTACCCCCCTCCCCCCCCCCACTCCCTCACCCACCTTTTAGGACTTCCAAGGGGCGGCGGAGTGTGTGCTCGCGCAGGTGATCGGCGGGCGGGATCAGACATGGGAGGGTCTCTTGTCTGGCGCGAAGACGGGAAAGGGTGGCTCGCCAAAGGTCGTGGTTCGCGCGGAAGAGGTGGCCAACTCCAACGGTCTCGCCGAGATAACTCTGGCCGGCTCTAATATTGGGTAAGAAATGTTAATGTTGTTGGTGCTGTTGTTGTTGATGGTGGTGGTGGTGGTGGTGGTGGTGCCGTCGCCGTAGTGACCACTTCCCAGCATGCCTCCGGAGCCCGAACTGATCCATGTAGAAAAAACAACACCCGCACGTTGATAACGTCCAACACAAACCCGAACGCTTCCATCTCTGGCAGCAACGGTTGCTGCGACTACAACAGTAGCAGCAGTAGCAGCAGTAGCAGTAGCAGCAGTAGCAGCAGCAGTAGCAGTAGCAGCAGCAGCAACGTCGGTACCGTCAATATATATATATATGTTGCCAGAAGCCGGGAACGGCAGTCAACATACCTCGATGCACCTCTTCGCCCCGCCCGTGCCACCGTTGGACTAAAAGAAAGGGGCCATTTTTGCGCGTCAGTCGAGTGAGCGAGAAAGGCCCGCCGATCCGGTGCTTCAAGACCGAGGTGGCTAAGGTTCGTACGTGTGTGTTGTTGTTCCTTCAAGCCTACTGTTCGTCTTCTTGTTTACGTTGGAACTGGCGGAACACAGCGTCGTGCTTCGAGGTTTACAATAGGTTGCTGAAGCTGCCAGCATGCAGCAGTCAGCAAAAAAGGGACTTTCGCAACAGCCATGAGAGCGGTATTCAACATGCTTTGTCTTTCGTGGCACCCATCCACGCTTTAGGGTAACGCTCCATATGCAAGTCATACAATTTTACTGCCATCAAGTGCAAGTATTACTGCAGTGTTCCAAAGTGGCCAAGGTACGCAAGTAAACATTTAGTGGCGTTTCGCGCGAGCACGAGCTGTTGGGTGTTGGGTGTGATGAAACACGGCTTCGACAAGGCTCAACTTCAACAGCAGAGGCTAACGTGTGTAGCCGGCAAGATGATGTTTGTTTGTTTTTTCGTAGTTGGTTGTAGTCGTTGCAGCTCTCGAGGTGGGTATGTGCTTCGAGACGTAAGTGTCTTCGACGGTGTGTCGACATCAAGAGTAGAGTGTTCAAAGAAGACGGAGAGCAAGAAAATTGTGTTAGATCAAGGGCTTCATTTTCTCTGGTCCCTCTACTCCTTCACCTGCCGCCGCCCTACCGAGATCACTCCCCTATCATTTGCTGGTCGTCTAAGTTTGTTTGACTTCTTGTTGCCACTTTGTCGATTGTCCTTCCTCTTGTTTTTTTATCCTCTCGTGCTGAATATCTTCGATTTCGCTTTCTCCTTGACTTCCGAACTTTCCCTTCCTGACTGGCCGTTATGCACGTCTACAGGGGTCCCCTCCAAGACCATGGGCACCAATCGAGATTTCTCTCAAGGTCCTGGCAAACGGTGACCCCTATCGCCCGCTCATCATCGAGGCTTTCACCTGGAAAAAGCGAGTATTGCTTCTTCTCAATATCATATCTCTCCCTCCTTCTCCCACTCCTCCGTTTTTCAACCCTTCCCCCCACGGCGATGTTGACCCTCACCACCTGATCTAGTTTTGAGATCAACGCCGCATGTTTGTCACCGCCGCCCAACATAGTTCGGAGGTTCGCCCTGCTTCGCACACAGCAAGATCCTGGCTCCATCCAGATCATTTGGTCAACTGCATCGCTTGTCCTCTGCCCTAGCCCGCCTCCATTACACGCCGAACCCACTCCTTTTTTGCCCCATCTCCCCCCCCCCCCCCCCCGTCGGTCCCTCACCGGAACAGGGGTTTCTCCCACAGGCCTCCCACCCGCATTTCCACGTGCGTTGCCTCTGTGTTGCACGTTCCGACGACCACACACGCCTACATGTGGTGCTGGTAGTGATTGATGTATTTCGGGGTTCGTGTTCAACGCGCCCTTGCCGCTGTTGGTGGTGAACCATACTCGATTTGTTTTCGACAGGTCCGGGAACCACGCTCTGCTTGGGTCCTGCAAGGCTAGCGTTAACGACCTCAAGGTAAGTTGTGTGTGGTGGTTTACTCGTTGCCGCGCCGAAAGCCTTTGACGCTGTCGGTCTTCGATTGAGCGATGTGACCCTACAGCACATCGTCCTCGAAGAATAGGTTTCGTCAGTGGTCTGTCTCATAACTAGCTGGATTGGAAAGCTTGTATCACTGGCGCCGACGAGAGAGGACGTTAAGTTGATAACTTTCATAACTCGATAGCTTGATAACTTGATAGCATGAACTTTCTGCAGGCAGCACCCACATGGTGTCATCTCATGTATCCCATCTCATGCATAGCATAGCTGTGAACAACTCAAGCTGTTCGGAAGACGGGACGTACTTGAAAGTTGTGTGCATGTACCGGAGTCATCCGTCACTCACCTCTTGCCTTGTTGGCGGGTTCGCGGGTTCGTCGTATTGAATGCCTGAACTTGTGAAAGAGTATGGGGTATTATTGTTGCTGTTCTTGCTGTTGTTGTTGTTGTTGTTGGATACTCCTACTTGAAACCCTCGTCCGCATGCTGCATGAGCGTAGTCTCGCTCCAGACGTGCTCGTGGCCCTTGTGCACAAGTGTACGGTACGTTCCGCTTGAGGCTACTTTCTGCCGGGATTGGCCGGGGAAAGTCTACGACACTCTCTTCGTGTTGGGAAACTTTAGAAAGGTGTTTGGGTTTGACCCGCCGTCTTTGCTTGATCTGCCTCAAGGAGACGCTGATCTTTCAATGACAATACGAATTGTGACACGGCGCTACCGTTGCCACCACGAGAGCAACCTCAACATCGACACCTTTGCGTGTTGCGCCGCTGTTGTCCGTATCGATCTCCGACAAACACGCTCCCGTTTTTCCCGTTTTTCAAAAACATTTTCGGTTACTTCTCTTGCAGTCGATGGCGGAGACCGGGTTGCAGAACTTGATGCTGGACAAAGGACGGCGTGCGATAACCGTGAGGTCGTGCACCGTCACGCCGCAACCAAAGTATGTGTTAGAGGCTCCGCGTGCTTCTTTCGGGAAACACAATCTTTATCCATTTCGTTGTTTGTTTCTTCATAGCCGACATCGCAGCAATAATCCACCGAATGTTCCCCAAGGGATAGGGGTTTCAACAATGTGCTGGGAGCTCGACAGTAGAGAATTTTTCGGTAGAGCAAGTGATAAGTTTGCTGTCGATGCCCACCCTCCCCCATACACGGGGAACCCAAAGTTTCTCCGCCGGTCGCCCATTGTCTGAGAGGAAGGTGGGAACTTTCTCGGATTCTTCCTGGGTGAAACCGGGAAGTTGAAGGGAAGTTACGGAACACGTCGCATCTGGTTTCTCTTTTTGTTTTCGATCGAACCGCCCGAGTCAACCTGCAGCTGGTCTTTCTTTTGTGTTTATTCGTCGCAGTCGTTTCGTTCGTGTGTTTTGGTTTTTCATATATAGTATCGGGTCCCACCCCCTTTGTACACGCCCCACATCATCGTGCCCCCCATCATCTTCACCGCTGTGTTAGATGCGACGGTCGACGTGCAGCGTGCCCATCGTAATCGACCAGCCCCCAATAGCAACTGAACTTCTCGCAGAGCGTCGTTGCTTCTTTCTGTCGTTGTGCAGATGCAGCTCCTTCTCCTTGCCCTCTCTCAATATTCTCGAGCGGTGCTATTCTCCTGCTGACGGCCCCGTCGCCTCTGTCGCCACCTCTCCTTGCTGCCGCCGCCGCCGCTGCTGCTGCTGCTGCTGCTATCCTGTTTGTCTTCGGCGCGATCCGATGCTACCCTCACCTCAGTTTCTTCGGCTACATCGCGGGGGGCATGCAGATTGGCTTCACGGTGGCCATCGACTACACGGCGAGCAACGGCGACCCGTCGCGGCGGGGCTCGCTGCACTACCACGACCCTACCGGCCGTACCAACAACGAGGTATTTGTTGTAGGCCTACACAATAGTGGTCCCGATAGTGTGCGGTCCCGAATAGCGCGGTTCCCGAAACGTCGCGCTAATAATTCCTTGGCACAAGATTCTCTCAATCGCACGGGTCCCTATATAACGTGGCGATTTTGTTCTGTCTACTACACCGTGATATATCTGGGGACCACTATTGCATACCAGTGTGCGTTTGGGCTCACCCCGTGCGAGGATTTTTCCGCAGCGAATTCACATATCAAAACGAAGGAGTTCCGCAGTCAGACCATTTTGTGGCGTAACGGAGCGCACTCTGATGAGAGATCGTATTTTTCTATATGACCGTTTCATAATCACGGAGAGAGCGGCCGTTGCTCAGCCCGCCCGAGCTATTGGGCAGCATCTTTAAGCAAGTATTGTGCATGCCCCTGACCGGAAGGTGGCCCCTTCTGTCAAGTCTCGTCCGCGACTCCCCGGGTGGAGCTGCTGCGTTTTTTGTTTTCGCTGCGGTAAAATTCTGTGTCCTCTTCAATGCTCCGCCAGTTTTCACGCTTGTTGATAAACATACAGAGCGGATACACACGTGTGCAAGTTTAATCTTCTTTGCAGACCCAACGAAGTGGGTTCCGTCGAATCATGCTGAGGTGTTGCTTAGTTTTGTTGGACAGGTGACCAGACGTGAACACAGCAGCCGATCATTTTTGATATCTACTTCGTATATATGACAATACTTCAGGGCATCAGTCTTGTTGACGTGCACGGAGCCGAGCAGAGGTAGTCCATGAGAGCCAAAGGCGCAGGGGGGTCCGTAACTCACTGACCATCAGATGGCACATACCAACAACAGTTGTTGTGCGGACCGTTCTCGAATTTTTTTTCGCAAACGAACGAAGACAGTCAAGCGTAGCCATTCCGGTGTACAATTAATTTTATTTGGCGGGCAACCCAACCTGCGGTTGTGCAGGAGGCTGCGAGCGGTCGCGTCCACAAAATTACCACTCATTTCGTTGCAGTGTAGGTTTGGTCTAGCCTCATAGCAGATCGCTTCGCTTCAGTCTCCCAGTGTAAGCGACTCTCTATCTCTGCGTGTCCCGTCGTGGTTTGGGTCCAATCTCGTAGCAGATCGCTTCCCTGAAATCTCCAAGTGTGTTTACGCGTTTTTCTTTTGTCCATGGATGTTATGCTAGGCAAGCACCGCACTCTCCATCCAATACCTCCTCCTTTCCGCGTTCCACACACATACACACGACGTATTGCTATTTGTATTACCCTCGGCTGCTCGAAGAAAGGGCAGAAAGAGGGTTGCTCCCGTGTTAGCCACAGAAGAAGAAATAACAACTCTTTCACCCCCTTCCCCTGTTGTGCCCCCGGCAGTACGCACAAGCGATCCAGTCCGTCGGGGGCGTTTTGGAGTACTTCGACGACGACAGGCGTTTCCCCGTGTACGGCTTCGGCGGTCGCCCCAAGAAAACATCAAGGCAAGCGAGCCACTGTTTCGCGGTCAACGACAACGAGAAGGATGCCGAGGTACTGCTTCGTGTATCTATGTTTCCCCGTTCCTGTCTTTGTGACATCGGCTACCGATGGCCTGCTCAGTGAGCGGCCCTCCCTCGGTCACGTGTGGACACCTGCCGGAATGTTCTTTTAGCGCGTGCCTCGCTCTTTTTTAGGCTCTTTTTACGTCTGATGTGAAAGGGACGGGTACCAGACCCTTGGCGGAAGGTATCTTGAGGGCTAAGCCAACCCCGAAGACCTGTTTGTCTCGTTGGAGGGCTGTTTCGAGGGGTATCGTGTAGGACAAACGGGGAGGAGTGGCGACGGGACATCAAAAACCTATCTTCACCCGCACCCACCATATGGGTGCCACAAGCAGCCCACCAACTATCTGCCACCGACCGCCGTGCTCTCGCTTCGCTCTCTGGTGTGTTTTTGGGTGCATGGGTCTGGTGTGTGCGTGCGTGCGTGTGTACCCTTTCTCGCTCAATTACGTGAAGGTCGAGGGCATCGCGGGGGTGCTGGAAACGTACCGCCAGAGCTTGAAGCGCGTACAGCTGAGCGCCCCCACCCTCTTCGCTCCGGTCATAAGCAAGGTATGAATATCTACGACTGTACAACCTGTGTCCTCCTTTCTGTCCCCTGGTACTTGGTCGCCGGGACCCACCGGTGTTGTCGCCGCCCGTGTTGTTTTAGGGGATCTGGATACGATGCTTGTGCGGCACCGACACGGCACGATACTTGATGCGTTTTGCCGTTTCCAATAAGACGGCAATCCCCACCCTCCCTACCTTAGGAGCTAACTTTCCGAAGCCGGAGGGCTTCACTGTTGAGGCGTTTGTTGCGTGGGTGGGGACTCCCTATAAGCACGGGTTTGTAGAGGGATTGGCATAGACTTTTGGCGACCATTCCACGACCCGTACACTTTTTGTTCGCAATCCGCGACTGCTCCAAGTCCCGCGGCCGCGTCGTCACCTCAGCTCGACGATTCCCCGCGGCGACATGTGCCCCGCCGTATACAACATGCAGCCTGTGCCTTCTTGTTAAATAGTACGTCCCGGTGTCCTTCCGCGGGAGTGGGATTTTTCGCTGCAACGACGACCGTGATATAGTAAGTAGCGTCCTGGACCCGGTCGACGCGAGTCAAGAGCTCCGCGAAAACAGCTATAAATAGTGCCTTGGCGAGCACATCGAGCAATGAGCCCTCACGACTCGTTCAGCCGACGGCGCTCTCGTCACGGAAGGCGCCCCCGAAATTCGTCAGTTCTTCTTCTCATCCGGTTGCTTTTCTGTGATGGGTTGTGCTTGCTTGCACGTCTGGCAAGCAGCAACAGACTGCGCGCGTCCATGGCACCATACCGGCGGTCGTCTAGTCGGGAAACGGGAACCGGTCTTCTGGCTGGCATGTGCTTGCGAATGGGAGATTGAAGACTGCCTGTTGTGTATGTTCCGTTCCCCCGGGCTTGGTGTGGTGCCTTTTGCTGATGCTAAAACGTTTTTGGAAGATTCAAACTCGGTTCCGTGTAAGGGGGGTTCTTGTGCTGTGTTTGTAATATCTCCGCAACTCGTTTTTGGGATAAGTATTATAGCACCAAGATTTCGGAGTATGCCACACCGCCAATTGAGAGGATTGCGTGGGCCCCGTCGTTTTCTGCCCAAAAATCGTGGACCGACGGCTGCTTCATGCTACTGTAGGCGGAAGCTTTCAAAGGTTGACATTCTCCGAATACCACAACGGGTGACGTCCCGAAGAGGGAAAATAGTCCAGGTTCTCCGTAGACCGCGAAAGGGGTCCAGATACCCCCTCAGAAAGCCCTCTCAATAGGGCGGATTCTCCGTAGACCGCAACGAGTAGAGTAGATTTTCCGAACACCTCTCAAGAAGGGCAGATCCTCCGAAGATCACAAACGTTGAAAAGTCTGGCAGCCCTGCTTTGTAACTCTCGTTCATCACGTCCGAAGCAAGGAGGAAGAGGGTCCCGATTTGCTTTTTTCAGTTCGCCGTGCTTTCGCTTCTTCGATAGGTGGCTTTTATGGCAGAACTGATACGTTGTGAAGGTCGTAGATGCCCTCGTCTCATGTTACTCAGGTTTGCTCTTTTTCAGCTTCAGCTTCTTTCCGTGATGATAGTGCTTTTGTTCTTATATTTGTGCGACGGCAAAAAATTACCGGCGTGCTGCTTGGGCGCCACCGCGGCAGGTGGCTTCCTTGGCGGCTTCGACAATGACCAAGGACCCGTCCCAGCAGTACTACACAATCCTGCTGCTCATCACCGACGGGGCAATTATGGACGTTGAGAAGTAAGCCAGTCTCTCGCGCGCGTTTGGGGGGATGGCCATGGTTGGTTCCCGGGGGGGGTTGCGTGGCGGAGGACTTGAATCGAGTGCACGCCGCTGAAATAACACCGCCAACCAGTAGCAGTTAGACGTAGGCTTCTGCCCCTCCTCGCGCGACGGTATTGCCCTTCCCCGCATATATCCCAAACCTTCTAACCATGACTTGCATGGTTTCTTGCGCTTCGACGGTGGTAGGACGGTGGAGGCGATTGTGGCGTCATCGGACTACCCGTTCAGCATCGTGATGTATGTCTTTGTGTTTCTTGTGGTGTTGTTGTAGTTGTTGTCGTTGTTGTTGCTGTTGCTGTTGTTGTTGTTGTTGTTGTTGTTGTTGTTGTTGTCGTTGTTGTTGCTGCTGCTGTTGCTGTTGTTTCTGTTGTTTGTTGGAACAGGCACGTTGGCAGCCTTGCTTTTGCTCACACACCGACAAACTTTGGTTACTGCCTGTCGGCCTCATTTTCCCTCGCATTCCCCCCTCCTCTCCTACTTCCCTCGCTGCTGCTGCTACTGCTATCTCCCTTGTGACTGTCACCTGTCTGTCTCTGTCTGTCTGTCTCTCTATGTCTCTCACTCTCTCTCTCGCTGATCCTCTCTCTCAAATGCTTGAACAACACACAACAACGGTATCATCATCTACAACGGCGACAGCGTCGGCGTGGGGAAGGCTAACTACGCCTCCATGAAGCTGTTGGACGGCGACGACGTGCGCCTCGTTAATAAGGCAGGAAAACGGGCAGGAAGAGACATCGTGCAGTTCGTGCCGATGAGAGACTTCGCCGGCAAGAGCTCCCACGCTCTCGCGAAAGAGGTGCGCGCGACCCTCGAAGAACAAGATGTTTCTTGCACAAAGAAACAGGTGCCTGGGGGTAGGGGCGGGAGTGGGAAATAAGGGTCGTTGCTGTGGTTGTTGGAGAGAGGCTGGCTCTCACAGCAAAGTGTGTTCTGTTCACGGCGAAATGATCGATCGCCTACGGCAGGACCTTCGTTGGTTGTTGTAGAGGCGTTTTGATCGACCTGTCCGCAACTGGGGATGGTGCCTCGGACGCCTTGGCGTACCAACTTCTGACATCAAAATCTGGCACGGGGTTGCGAACGCCCTGGACACTAGTAGCAAGGTCCGATGAACGCATGGGAACCGTACAGCGGGGGGAGGTGCACAAGACCGAAGAAGGCACACCGAACCATTTCTCTGGGAATGATTGTGTACCCTGGCGCACCTACCATCTAGATGGCCAGGTTTGACGAGTGTGACTCGAGGGCTAAGAGGCCAGCCCTAACCCTACGTCACGTACGCCTTTCCGGACGAGGTGGGAAACAAGCGGTCAGGGAGAGTCGAGGAAATAGGACGGAGAGTAGACTAAACGTGCGTGCGGGCTGGGTAAAGGAAATTCCCGGCAAGAAGGCCGTTCTTGAAATGCAGAGTCCGAAAAGAGTATCGATGCACCGGAAATACGTGTGAGTCTCGCAAATGCGGATGCTGTGTGATCGACGTCATTGAGGAAAACGTGGGATGCTTGAGCAACCATCCCCCCCCAATGCACCAGGTCTTGGCAGAAATCCCCGCTCAAGTAATCGAGTACATGGAGAACAACCAGATCCCTCCGGGAAACCCGCACCGGCCAAGGACGAACGGTGGCCAGGGTTCAATCGGCTCCATGGCTCTCAAGGTGCGCTCACGAGGATGTAGTTGGGTTGCCGGCACACACCGATAGCCAGTCGTGCGTTGGGAAAGTTTGCTGGAGAAGCAGACACCGCCTGGGAGGTCGTTCTTGCTGGGGAGAGTAGACGGGGGACAGGGGCATGAAGGCCTTGAAAGCTCTGTGCAGAGTATGCATCACCGTTTCCGGGAGTTGGATTTTCAATATGGTCGCAGGAGACCCTTCCGGGCTAGACGTCCGCCGTTGACCCTCGGTGATATAAAAGCAAGGCGCTGCTTTGGCGTGCGCTTGGTTGTGGTTGCGGCGATGATACCGCGATCTACTTGCGCCCCTCGCCTCCTCTGTTCTTGCGTGTTGATCAATTACACGGATATGTAACACCGGTTTTTGGCTCGTGGAGACCGCCGTTTGTCCATCGTCGTCGTTAGGAATGTGCTGTAACGCCTTCAATCCCCTTTTCGCACGTATCGCGCGCAAAACGTCCCCGGACTATTCTCACCTGACCCAGGGATCATTCATGCAAAACGGGGCAGCGCCGGTGGCAGGAGGCCCGTAGGTATGCATGGCTCGGACCTGCGATTGCACTGTAGAGTACGTGTTTTTTGGGTCAGGGTATCACGAGTGTATGCTTCAATTGCCTCGTTGTCAAGGGGTGCGTGCAGAGTTCAACTTTTTCGACATCGCGTATCGTATTGCGACGGTACGGACGGAGTGCAGCTGCGTTCATTCAGTACGTCTCGTGTGGAAAAGAGATACACAATGTGTAGATATTTATTCAGATGCGCGTTCCTTCGACGCAATATGGCCCACACTCAAAAGGACAAACAGGCTGCAGACCAGTGCAATATTCATAATAAATATGGTCACAAGATTTGTGGCATGCCGAGCACGGAGGGAGCACCATGCCGACAACAACAACCCCCGCGGAAATTCTGTTGGTTGTCTGTTACCCCCCCCCCCCCGTCCTTGTGCCCCCCTCCCTGACCTTTCATTTCTGCCACCCTTCCCCACCTGTGATTATAGTGGCATCGTCCGCGCTGACCGGCTGGAGGATGAAACCCGTCCGTGCTACTACTGTCGCCGGACAGAGGGTAAGAAAAAAGCTGCGAACTAAAGGCAAGCCACGGAGGAGAATCCGTTCTTGTTGGGTGGCTGAGCGGTGAGTTTATCAAGCGTTGAATTTGGCTGCAACAGTCGACAAGCCGTTGAGAGGAAACGCGCTGTTCTCCGGTGGGACGCACTTAACAAGCGTGTGTGGATATGCATGCTTTGTTGGTAGTTGGCGAATGCTTTGTTCGTGGTTGGCGAATGAGGCATGTTGGTTCGATCGCTCTAAGAGGTGACGAGAATAGCAATAGAGGAGCAGGGGGGTACTTGTTGAACGGGAGGTGTCGTCGGGCTATTCGGCCAACGTTGGGCCTTTCGGGAATGTACCATTGGGACCGACTGCTGATCGCATCATGTTGTTGCTGTGCCCGTAACCAACGTAGTGTTTTCTTGCACCTCTACAACTTTCCCCGTTCGGTAATGTACATTGCAAATACACCGACGATGCCACTCTTTTGATGAGCTAGAACCCTCACGGTAGTCTGCCGAGAAGGGGTGTTTTCCTCCGAGTGCATTTTAGGCAAGAATAGACAGTTTGCTTGAGGTCCCGTCTCGCTGGAAAGTTGCAAGGTGAGGTGTCAAAAACGTGGCGGACAGGACACACTCTGGGCTTTGCCTCTTTTCGCCGTTTCTTGCAGCGGCGAGACCGGATGACTGACGTGGGTAGGTTTCGAATGCTTGGTTTCGTCCGGCCTTTTCTGAAGTTGTTTTGGTTCGTCAGAACCCATTTCCGATTTATGGTAAGGCGGCCGCCCGCCCATTAGGCGGGACAGCCACCGGGGGATGTACAGCGGTACGAATTGGTTGGGTGGTGAAGGAAGAGGAGCACACCTTGGGAGGTGAAGGAAGAGGAGCAAGACCGAGCGTAGCATGTATATACGGTATAGTACAATAGTAGGATGTGGTTGAGAGGGGATAAATGAGGAGCAAGAACGAGGTGACAGGAAATGCAGCGGTACGAATTGGTTGGGACGTGAAGGAAGAAGAGGGAGAACCCGAACCGGCAGTCCATTGTTGCGGATATATTTGCCAGCAGATTCGCCTAAAAGCTGTAATGTCATGTTTTTCGATGCGTTATGTTGGACACTGTAAATAATAACAGGCTTGCTTTCCTATGAGCGCAAGAAATAGTCTATAGACTATGCAATAAAAATCTCACCTTTGAACGAAGCAGCTCCGCGATAACCTCATGGTGGTGCCGGTTCGATGATGATGTTGCCTGGCCATTTGGCAAGCATGAAGGATATCTGGCCTGGTCTTCAGGACAGCAGTTTTTTATCTTGGGTGAACGTAGCTCGTAAAGGAAGAAGATCGAGTATCCGATATACGGTGGAGTTCCGTATCCTGGATGTGGACATGTGGACATGTGGACAGGGTTCGACGAGCGGTCGACAGGGCATCCTTGTCGGCTCGTCGTCCTCGCGCTAAGTCATTCCGTCTGTACTTCCCAATTGACTCCTGGAGCATTGTTGTTGTAAAAGCGGAATACCTAGACGTACCTGTGACGATAACGCTGACCTTGCTCTGAGGTTTACGTGATACATGTGTGGTTCTTTATTGAAATAAACTAAGTTTGGGGGTTTTAGGCGATAACTTATCATTTGGGGGACATGCGCGAAATAACTTCTTCTATCGTTTCGGGGACGAAAAATAAGATCCAAACGATCTGATTTGATTATAGAGATGGATTCGATGTGTCACATTAGCAACCCCCCCCTCCTATGTGACCCCGGTTGGGTCGTCTAGCTAGTAGAAGTGGAGGATGGGGGCCAGAGGGGCAGACGACAGAGTCCAATGATAAGAGAAAAAAAAAATAGAGGAAAACATAAAAATGCATTTGCGGTAGAATACAAGTAGTACATCAGGTGTGCATTTGGAAGGCGACGATAACATACCGGTGGATTGGACTATACATAGATCAGCTATGCATACTCACATACATAGTCTAGAGTGCCAGTTTCGCGCGTTTTGGAGTACGTGCATTGATTGAATATTATCACCGAGAATCTTTTGACGGTGTCGTCTTTGGGAGCTTGTCAGCGTTCACAAGTCGAGCAACATCCGCGAAAACCCCGCCAGGAAGCAAAGCGACGCCGAGAGGGAACACCAGCAATGACCTCATGATAAAACTTGGTGCCTCAGTGCAAAGACTATGACTATAAATTATTATAGTCATAGTCTTTGCCTCAGTGTATTGTACTTGCAGTGGTGAGTGGATTCAAATTTCGAAATTCATTTCGATTTATGTTTTGCAATCACCTGTTCGACGTAAATACCCCACTCGAAGGGATGCACAAGTAGTGAACGATGAAAAACACCTCCCTGCGTTATTGTTTTATTATGGAGTATACAGGTGAGGAAGACACCGACTGAAGGATCGGTGATACCTCATTCCTTTTGGTTGTTCGAACACTTGTTGTGTGGAACAACGCCGGTCGCCGAGGTATGCTCTGTTGCTGCTGCTGTGTACAAAATAGTCTACTGCTGTAGATAGGTCCCCGTGACTCTGAAGATACACGAGTGGCGAGGACGGCCCTTGTCTTCGGGACATTCCCCGTTGTCTCTTCACGCACGCACGGGCTAGGACGAGGTAGTGGCAGCAAGGAGCGCGGCGCAACGAAAACAAGGTCACTGGTAAAAAGTGCGTGTGTAATCATGTGATCATGTGTGATGTGTCATGGTGTCGCGTGCCTCGTGCCAGTAGCGGTGAACCAGCAAGTTGCGATCTGCGCAACCCCCCCTTCCCAATTGCGTTGTTGCGCCGCGTCTGCAGCATGATGACGACGGGTTGCACTGCTGTCCTGCCCTCCTGTTTCCTCGCTGCCCCCCCTGGCGTCGTAGCCCGTGTGTGTGAAAAGCAAGGGAATCTCACAGAGGCAAGAACCGAGCCGCCTGTTCACTCTATCTTGAGAGTGACGGGGGCTCTCTGCACACTCGTTGTTGACGAAGCGCCCAGCATCGTCAGATCGTTTTTTGTGAATTCAAATTCGGCAAACGACGACAATGTTGACGAGGTTGATGCCGTTGCTCGCGTTCCTCGACGCCGCTTCTTCCTGGAGCGCGACGGCTACCGCAGCCACCACCGTTGCCTTCAGCAGCCCCCCCCGGATGTTGCTCGACTTCTCAACGCTGACAAGCTCTCGAAGACACGGCGGTCAGAAACATCAAATCGAACCTGACAACAGCAGCAGCAGTAGCAGGGCAACATTCGCGTCTCGAGAGAGGGCAACATTCGCGTCGCGCGCGGGGGAGCGAAGCTCAGCGACGCGCATGAGCAGTGCCCCTTCAGGCGAAGGACGTCGTGAGGGAAATCGCGTCGTGGGCAGCATCGCTCGGGGTGGCGGCGTGGTAGCCTTCGTGACGGCGGCGTGCTCAGCTTTCCCCAGTTGCTCCTCCGCAGTAGCGGCAGCAGCAACCATCGTTGGGGAAGCGGGCGGGTCGGAGATGGGTGCGAGGGTAGACCCCGCTGCTACGACCTCTTTCGCTGCTGTTGTGGTGGCCTTCGCGTTTCTCCAGGTAAAATTTGTTCCGTCCAAATCCCTGACACTCGAGACATGTACTGTATGTAGATACATCAGGAATAGAGATACATATTACCCTCCTCGGGAAGTGCAAGTGACGGGGCTCACGAACCCCACGACTGGCTTTTTCAGAGGCCAAATCAACCATTAGACTGGTCAGCTACAGTAGTTTTGGGTCGTACAGCAGTAGTCTAATGGTTTGATTTCGGCTTCTACGCATATGTGTATTGGAAACCTTGATCTCGGAGTTCAACGAGAGCCCTGACTCGATGCTTGCGTGTGCTTCCCATCCAGGCGCGGATTCGAACCGCTGTAAGAGCGCGAACGGCACGGAGGGACTACGAGGTTCTCTTCAAAGGGATGAAAGCAAAGCAACTCGCCGGACAGGTAAGCGTGCAATCATAACAAACGAAAACGAAATTCGTGTGTAAGCATGCTTCTGAAAGGGCAGGAGCGAACGTAGCACAAACGTTCCGCCCGACACTTCCACTTCAGACAGTAATCGTTCGGGGTTGGATGCAAGTACCCTTGCGAGATGTTCCCGGTCAGTACAACTGGATGGTCTCTGTCAACCTCGCGGTTCTTCCAGGGGAAGACACGAAGGCACACATAGCCCTATACACAGCAGCAGCATGGTTCAAGCTCGTTTTCAGAACGCGGGGTGCTGCTGCATGGGTGTGCTCCGACACCTGAAAAACTTGTCCTGATGAGGATCCAGCTTCAGTGGAAAAGTGCTGCTTTGGCGGCGCTACATCAGCCTCTTGGGGTTTACTTTTTCTACGTGTTTTTTTCTGTGTCTGGTAGAGGGCATACCGTAAGAGGCGGAGAGATGGCAACCCCCCTAGACCCGTTTTCAAAACTCGATTGCTCCACAAACATGCTTGTGCCAACACCGAACATGGCGGTTTCGGAAACATCTCGCCGACGGGTTTCCGTAGACGCATCGGTCTATTTCCGCACCCGCTTTGTTGCGGAGAGATCGAGCTTTGAAACTCGGCCCAAGGGGGGTCGCCTCTTACGGTACTATGATGTTTTGCTTTGTCGAGTCCCCTCGCGAACACGATCTCTCGTGTTTTGTGCGCATAAATTCCGGAGTACGAACTGAGCCCAGCATGCCGTGCTTTGGAATAACCGTGGTTTTGATGTCCACGACGCCACGCAGGCGGACGAGGAGGAAGTGAAGCTGGTGGAGGAACGGATGTCGCAGGTGTGTGGGTGACGACTAGCACATGGCACATGTTCCTGGCTTAAGGTTCCGCGCTGTGTAACCTGCCTCTTGTGTGACCCCGGCTGATTTGTTGTTTGCTGTTTATGTCTTCACATTATAAACCGTTCTGTTATTTCTGCCCAGTACCTTCGTATGTCCTTACTGATCCAGCACTTGACGGGGTCGATTCCCGTGGTCACAAGCTAACTTACCGACAGAAGGTATACGAAAATGAAATGGGCCCGAAGGGTCCGCAAGCCAATAGAAGTCAACGACAGATAGTCTAGGCCACTCCGCTCGCCTCTACACGCTATGCGATACGTTAGGTATACTCGCCGAAAGGCCTGCAAACCGGCGCAAGAATGGAATGGACGAACACACACACTGACCTACAGGACCGCACAGAATGAGGGGAGTAGATGTATTCCGCGGTGGTTGGGGGAAGGACATCTTGTCTACTCTGTACGACGGTATGCTATCCGAGATGTCGGCGTCCGAACTTGTTTATTCTTAACATGAATTGTGGCTTGGGGCATTCACACGCGCCGACTACAGGCAGCTTCACCACCGGCAACAGACGAGTAATGAGCTCTCGGCACATTGCGCGTTAGTTTCAGTCTGTTGCGGGGTCGCACGGAGTACGGTGAACTCACCGCGTGACAAACGATAAATAATTGCACGCCGACAAGGTATTCCGTCTGTGTTGTGTTCCGTTCCTGGGTACGGTAGGTTGCGTAAGATATCAAACCCCTGGACGGATTTTCAAATCTCGATTACTCCGCGACGAAGAGGATGCCGAACTTGAAGTATACGTTTTCGGAAAGCTCTCGACGAGACGGTCCCAACGCCGCCATTTTCGGCACACTGCTTTTGCTGCCGAGATATCGAGCTTCGAAAGTTGGTCCAGGGGGTGTGATATCTTACGCAACCTACCGCACCCCCGAGCATCGCACAACGAGCCATCTTTGACGTATTGATGCGAAGAGGTTCCAAGCAAAAACTCACACGTCTACGTGGAGCTGGCGTCGTGAGCAGGCAGGCAGTGAAACCATTTGCCTGAGGCCTGCGTCGCAATACACCTGAACGTGTTACTTTTGTAACGAAACTCTCGTGTGCGTTTATGTCGAAAGCGCGTCTCGGTGACGGTCCCTCATTATCGTGTTATCCTCTCCAGATGTCAATCCCCATCTCCCTCCCTGCAGAAATGCCAGCTCCGGTTTAGATGCCAACAACGCCAGGCATCACGGGTAAAGAGACGCAAGTGCTTACCCTTGTAAAATGCCCCCCCCCTGTTCCGACTGCTCCGTCCTCTCGAAGACGCGTGGTCAAGAGCGCTAAGGCACGCAAGACATGAGAGTACGCCCTCCCCCCCCCCCTCCTGTGCGATAGGATATATTGGCTAGGGAAGACATTTTTGAGCCACCTTTGGCAAAGTAGGAAGGAACGATTGGCCATCGGGGATCGGTCCTTTGAGAACAACCCTCCGTCCTCTCGAGGACGCGAGGTCGATGATCTAACCGCTACGGCATGCAAAGCATAAGAGTACGCTCCCCCCCCCCTGAGCCGACTGGTTTACCTTCTCTGCATGCTTGCGTAGCTCCTTCGGGAGGAACAAGAGGCGAGAATGGTGGACATCTTCGGCATCCCGTTCAACTTGGTTATCCCCGACGGCGGGGCGGGAGGGGAGCCGGGGACAGCCGCCAGGGAAGCGCAACAGGTGTGGAGGCTGAGGAATTCTACCGTAAGGATGCGAGAGAACGCATGGCGGTGCAATCGATATATTGATGATTTCGTTCTGGACTTTTTAGAAAGTATACGTCGCGTAATCAAAGAGAGACGAGCCGTTCGAGATAAAAAGGCCACATTCGAAGGGGGCGATTATCCCACGGGGGTGCGATATCACCGGTACGTGCGATATCATCAATCCCCGTGCGATGATCGAATCCAAAGCAGTCTTGACCCTGAATGTTTATTGCACGGGGGTGCGATATCACCGGTACTTGTGGTACAACTGGAAGGTGCGTTCTCTCTCATCCTTGCGGTACCACCACCGATCAAGTCCCTACAACATGTTACCCGAATACTCTCCTGTAAATCTTGAATTTTCGAGGAATTAGCCTCTTCGGAATATCTATCCGAGTTTCTTCAAGTTGTTTTTCCGATCAGGTAGGGAGGAATACCACTTTGCCGCTCATGTTACGCATTGCGGCGCCTACCCTGTTTCGCCCTTTCCGTGGTATTGAGCGTGAGTGTTCGCGGAGGGGTAGTTACGCAATATGCGGGGGGAGGGTGTCATGGACCATCCGCACCCACCCGCACTCTTGAACCCGAGCGGCCATCGTGCACGAAGCGAGGGTTTTTCGTTCACGGCTTTCCATCTCGTTCTTCTCCAAACGCAGGGTAGGAGCTCTGGCAGGGGGGAGCAGGGGGGTGGTGGTCGTGCTGCCGGGGAGGGCGGCCAGCAGCAGCAGCAGCAGCAGCAGCAGCAGCAGCAGCTGGGGATTCGCGAATCTATGAAGGCGAAAGCCGAGTCGGACTTGAGAGATAGGAAGGCGAGGGAGGAGGAGATGTCGCCGGGGGCAACGCTCAAGGTGGCCGCGCTGTGGCTCGTGCTGATATCCCAGGTAACGTCTTCAGTCGACCAGTCTCTTTCTTGCTTTCCCCCGCCCTCTTTCTCGCCCCCTCCTTCCGCAGGTTGCATGACGTAAGATACCACACACCTCAGACCGATTCGCCAAAGCCCGGGTACTCCACAAAGAACATGATGCCAACATAAAATTGTGCGTTTTCGGAAAACTCTCGACAAAAAGGCTCCAACGCCACCATTCTCGGCACAGTCCATGGTTGTGCTGCAGAGTAATCGGGCTGTGAAAAAAGGTTCAGGGGGTGCGGTATCTTACGTCATGCAACCTACGGCACAAATGGGTCCAGGGTATGTGGTATCTTACGTCATGCAACCTACGGCACAAATGGGTCCAGGGTGTGTGGTATCTTACGTCATGCAACCTACGGCACAAATGGGTCCAGGGTATGTGGTATCTTACGTCATGCAACCTACGGCACACGCACAGCTCGTCATGGCACCCGCCATCTGGTTTCTCTACCTTCGCTGTGCGCTTGGTTCGCTCGGAAGCACGACCCCCCGCGTCTGCGCCAGCTCTCCATGCCCTATTATCAGCCCTCCCCCCCCCCCCCCCTCCCCATCTGCAGCTGTGGCTACTGGTGGTGTTGTGGAACGACCCAATGGGTCCCGCATCGTCGACGTTTCTGCAAGACTGAGAGGGGCACGTTGGTTTTGTCTGTCGGTGTGAATAAGTGGAGCTGTACCCGGTTCGTCAGGTGTTAGGTCGGGACAGAGTTGTGCGTGGTGTGATAGGGAACAATAGTCCATGGAGAGGGGTTGACGAAGATTGCAGGTTTGGGATTCATGGTCTGGTGCGCGTGTGTCAGGTTGGTTCAGCGCCGGATCAATCGATTGTTCATACCGTTCTGCTGCATCGAGATTTTGCAGTGCGAGCATTATTCTAGGTTCGCATTCGACGCACTTCAATTTCGAGTACGTCTAAGTCAACTGTAATGTGCGAGTGCGATTCCCCGTGCGTTTTAGTTGTCGGCATGGAGGTGGCAGTCTTTCTGGCGGACATGAATGATCGGCACAAGAGGAAGAGGCGTCACAAAGGCCGTGTTTTACGAGACCGATCGTCCTGTGTACAATCGCCACAGAACGAATATGACGTCGAGAGGCGGAGATATGCGGTGGTAAATAGATGTCGTTTCTCTGCGCAGTGCTGATCCGGCAAAAGAGTGGAGACGCACGTCTCCTTGGGGTGTACGTTGCTGTTTAAGACGAGAGGCAGCAAGAGCCTCAAATTAGACAGGGCGGATAGCTTCGCGTGCGCATGTTACGTTTTCGAAACGAGTGTTGTGTGAGAAGCGATCAAGACGTGAAAAGAACTCTGAACAGCCTAGTGTGTGAGGAGCGACCAAGATGTGAACGAAAACTCTGAACGGCCGGCAAGGGCAACCTCGGCGTCACACTCCAGGAGCAGCGGTACAGACGTGAAGACGGGCACAACCAACACACCTTTGTGAAGTTCGCACCAGCATAGGTCGAGCCGCATCAGCTGGGAATCCCATTTCATTTTGTTCATGTTTGCCTGGTCACAATCTCCATGATACTCGTTGACGTTACATCTTCAATTTGCACGCAATATTACCAAGGATTTGTATCGGCAGAGTCCAAAATGCCAAGGTGCCAGCATTCGCTACAAGCCAGTGTAGCATGGGGCAAGGTGAGTTCTTGAAAGCTTCGCCCCTCTCCGGACACACCTAGGCTTTCTTCAAGTGGGCCTGTGTGTATCAGAGCCCTGATCCTCCGCTCGAGACCGGCGTCCTGAGGTGTGGTTTCGGTGCTGGGATGATGATACCGCCGCCGGGCGGTGGTCTGACCGATGCCTTCCTGCTGCCCACCACCGCCGCACCATCCATCAACCCGCGCGGACGGTTCGCCGCGTTCCTCTCGCCTCCGCGGAGCTCCGCAAGTGATACCCCTCCCGTGCTGATTCGGCCGGTGTCGCTCAACCCCGCGAGGTTCTTGCGCCGTGGAGACAACATCGACGTAACCTTACGGGCGTTTCCCCGCTGCGTGTGGCGATTGCTCACCGGTGCTAACCGAAGCCGATCTGTGCAGCTCGTGCTACTACCACTACCGGCAACGCTATAACTCGGGGTGCCGCCGTTTCGACTACCGCCGCCGCCAGCGTTCTCCCGCGTATGTCCGGCCCTTGCACAATAACTGTCGCTGCTGGCACCCCTAGGCGGTTGACGAAGAAGGTGGGTCGGCGAGCGGCGGGCTGATACAACCGTCGTCGCAAAGAGTTTCACCCTGCCCGACCCGCACCTCTGGCACTTCACAGGCCTCCTCCCTACACCGCTGGAGCACGTGCCACCGCCGGCCCGCTGGCCATTCGCCGGCGGCGAAGAACGGGGAGAGAGAGCGGAACCAGAAGAACTGAAGCTTACGACGGAGAAGGCGTCGCTCGGCGTCCGCGGGGGCGGGCACGTTCGATTCATCTGCCCCGGGCGCTCGGGTCTGTTGATGGTTGTGTGCGGGACACACGCGCACGATATGTTTGAAGGGGTGTTGCATGTTTTGAGACTGTTGTAGCAGTTTCTTTTCGTTGTTGTTGACGATTGATTCGTTGGGGAGGGGCAACACGCAGCCCTTACGATCGGGAAACGTGCAATCGAAGTGATACACAACTACCCTGGTCTTGTCGGCTCCCCCACCGGTGCATCCCACATCTCATGCAAAGGCGGGTTTCCCGGTTCGTTTCGCTTGATATGCATAGCCTTGGGGCAATTTCTTGCGTACCCGAAACCTGGGTTCAACTTGTCACCATCGCCTTTGAAGTAGGAACGAGGAGATACAAATAGATCAATAATAGAAGCAGGACATCAACAACGCTGAAACACAAGAGCGACGCGATACTATAGGCACTTGAATGAGAGAGAAAGAACTTCTGCACTGTAGCGCTTGATTGTTTCTTGGCTGAGCTTTTGAGCTGGAGCGGTGGGCTGTACAGCATCTTACAGGGTTATCCCAGTCCTACCCTGCTTTTGTCCCTCTGAACTAGTTGTCCTAGGATCTTGTGCCTTTGTGTGATTGGTGGGGTGGGATTTTTCTCTGATTTGATCTTTTTCATTCCATAGTTTTTGGTTTGGTGTTGACCACGGCGCTCGTCTCACTGCCTTGAAGAACATTCAATGGGAGAGGAGATACTGGATTCAGATCAGAGTAGCTACGAAGTTAAAGGTGAAGAACCCAGCTGACGCCTCATGTAGACCGGAAAGTGCGCCTCTTCTTAAACACTGATGTATCCTCAAAGCACCACGTGTCAGCACGTCGTTCTTCTACTAGAAAATCAAGCCTTGTGCCTCTACATTTTGAACAACCTTTCCGCAAATGTATGGTCGGTGTGTCGCAGTGTCATCGCTGCCGTAGCGCTGCATACCTGTCCCAATCTCCCGAAGGGTGTGTTTCCCAATTTTGCCGACGATGCAGCGATGAATCCGTCATCTCCACGCTGCTGCCGCTGCCGCTGCTGCTGCTATGGCCGCCACACCTCCAACCCGCAGCCCTTCTTCCTCTCGTGCCTCCCGCCGAATACGCCGCTTGGTAGTCCGTTGCGTTGTCGTCGAGAGACGCCAGGGTGGCGCGCAACGGTTTCCGGTCTTTGCGGCGCTTGTTGCGGCGGAACACGAAGTTGTGGAACACCTGAGGAAGGGGGGAAGGGATCGAGGTTTTGGTAAGTACTACATAGATGCTGGTGGTATATCAACCAGAGTGCTGCCCTCCCGTGTACTTTGCGAACCTTGTTTTTTTTCGTGCAGCACCAACACGTGTTGTAGTGAACCTTGCTTATTTTTTCTGCAGCACCATGATAGTGGTTGACATTGACGCGTCACAGACCACGCTGCTTGTGCTTTTTGACAGCGTGGCAAGATCGAGCACGGGAGCTCCTGAACGTACAGATGTCGTCAACAGCGAATGGAGCAGGGCCTCCGGGAGAGAGAGGCAAAATGTTGAGAGACCCCGCCGTATCGGAGGCTCGGCGATGATACTGTCTTCGTGAAACCCTGCTGACACGGTCACCACTCACTTTTTGCCCCCCTCCGTCCGGGAGGACGCCGCATCCCCCCAGCCCTCCTCCCGCCGCGACCGCAAGCCCTGCCCGGTGTCTCACAGAAGCACCCCGCCCTTCCTGACACCACCGTTGCCGTGGCAACACCTGCGGAAATCGAGAGCCGCTTCTGCTGCTATGTTGATCGCTTTCGTTGTTCATCGAGCCGAGGGTTGGCAGGTTCGGCGCCGATGCGGCCAGACCCATCCTGGTCGGCGTCATTCCAGACTTGGCTGATGCCCCCTCCCCCGCTGACTGTGACGCCGGTGATTGGGTTCCGATTTCGGGTGTTTCACCAGCGGGAGACGGTTGTGCGACGCTGGGTATGCTTGTTGCGGCGGCGGCGGCGGCTTGTTGCCCTCCCTGGAAGGGGGGAGGCGTGATCGTCGGGATTGTGGCGATTTCAGTGGCGCGCTCCACACTGATCGACACCCCCGATCCGTCGTCACTGCCGCTGCTGCGGAATAAGCAACACAAGCAGCGCCGGCGGAGAGGGGTTGCCGAAAGAGACACCACGAGCTTGCCGCACGATGCAACAGGGTTGTTGTTGCTTCATATATGGGGTTAACGTCAGACATTTGTTTCGCTTATTTCTCGAGTACATTTTCTACTCAAGACGCTGCGCCTTCGTTTGGCAGACTATATGGCGAGTAATCCCGCTATCTCACGGCGCTGAAGGAAGTCGGCAAACGTTGAACAAGAGGAAGTGTAAGAACGGCAGAGGCCACACCTGCTGTGGGTACGAATGGTTCAACATTATCGGCCATCACGAGAACATGTATTTGCTGTACATATCGCTCAACAAAAAGGTTGTAGCGATCAATACTTGACAGCCCTCAAAGAGTTGTTCGAAACGTTTGGTAATATTGAGCGGTAACACGATGGAGACTCCTTCTTTGCGATGGAATCATGATCATTCATAATATTTTCAAACAAAACATGTTGACCATTATTATATTAGTCTGTCTTTATCATTGAATACGGCGAATGAGGTGTGGATTCAGTTGCGGGGAATCGACGCCGCTAGGGACGAGATTGATTGCGCACGTATAGCTCTCACCCGACGTACGCAATGGCAGTCCCGATGCTGGTTGCCGCTCCTCCGAGAGTTTTGTCTTTGTTGCGCACACCAGCTTCCACTTGGTGGGTCTCGTTTGCTGTGCCGTCATACTGCTGCTGCTGTCGCTGCTGCGAGTTCGCAGTGGCGGTAGCTGTAGCAAGCACCACGCCCTTGCTAGACAACCTTCGCGGTCGGCCATCGTTCCATTCTGCCGTCTCTTCTCGAGAGGCACGCCGTGACGAGTTACGTCTGCTGCTGCGATCTCCCCACCCGACCACAGTGATCTCGGTGCTTTCGGTATTGTTGTCGTGGTCCTCCTCCTCCTCTTCGTCGCGGTCGTCGTCGTCGTCGTCGTCGTGGCCGTCTGATCTTGATCCTCTCCTTATTGCAGGGTGGCCCACACGACCGGCATCTCGCTGCTGCCAGCAGGGTCCAGCCTTCGGGTCTGTGTCGTCCTCGATCCAGGAACCTTGGATGCTTTTTGGGGACGATGATGCACATGATCCGGCCGTAGAGAAGCCGCCACCCAGCACCGACGGTCGTCGCTTCCTCACCCTAGAGGCGGTACTTGCGACTGACGACGATGTTGAGGAAACAAGGGATCGATTGTTGTTTTGGGTGTGTCTAGGCGATGCCAGAGGTCTCGCAACATCTCCAAACCCTGGCGGCCAGGAATTGACTGTTTCACCCCCCCCCAAGGAAGACAGGAGGAGCCGCTGCCAGTGCGACATGTGTGTCCACACGCGACCGTCGCAGTTAAGTCGATAACCGTTCAAAATCTGGTATTACATGCCCCGTCTTTGTCTGTCTTTGGTCGAGTTCTTTATATAGAGCTGCTGACCTGAAGAATTGAGCGAAACGACTCTAGAGGAGGACATCACCATGGCCTTTAGAACGCCTGCCACCAAAAGGACGAAGACTGCTACCAAAAAGACGAAGACTTCGGCTTCAAGACGATTGTTGTTGTGGTGGGTGGTGGGTGAAACGTCACAAAAATATCCCGCCGCTTTCTCCGCGCGCTGGAAACCCATCTCATCCGCGGGCCCCCTTCCCCTCTCTCTCTCAAACTAGATTCTCGAGCTTCGAACTTCCGACCAGCTCGTCTCGGCAATCACCCCCAGCAACAGGCAGGCGCTACCATGTTTCTCGTTGACTGGTTCTATGGAATTCTTGCATCGCTAGGTGAGCTGGACTGACTGCGGAAAGGATGCGCGTGTGTGTTTGTGTTTTTTTTGCAAGAACTTCTCCGCTTCTCCATTAGGAGCCCATCACGCACACACCCTCTGTGCCCTCTGTGTCAAGCCGCGTTAGCCAAAGTGGTGACTGACCCGTAGGTATCGTCTACAGCCGTAGAGCGTGGGCAAGCCAAGCCCCCGTTCAGTACGGCACACCACTCTCAAACTGCAGGGCGGAAGCACGCTCGCACCCACGCACACACACGCGGCCCTCTCCTTTTGATCCGCAAGTTTGATACCCCGTGGCCCAATAAGAAGGCGGGGCTTACCGCTATACCTTTCGAACGGGTAACCCTGCAGGGCGTGCATAATAGTAAAGGACAGCGTGGCGGCCAACCTGCGTGGCTTAGCTGATCAGAGCTGACCCCCCCCCGATTCATCTTCTACTTGACCGCGCATAAGAGTGCAGTCAAGAGATGCACTCGCACCTCTCCTCTCTTGTTACATGTAGTATTATGTCTCTTGATTTGGTGCGTGCCACCGCCCATTGTTCTCGCTGGGGAATGTGGAGAAGCCAAGCCGCTGCTCGGCGGCGGTGGTGTAGCCACCCGCAACAAGTTGTTCCTTGATGGTGTTCATCACTGACTTGGTCATTGTGCGGGGAAGGACAACAAGTAAAATGTCATATCATCCTTGTTTCTGTTTAGCTCATCGTCTCTGGCGTCGGACGAAAAAGAATGGAAAAATCTTCTTCTTTTTTTCGTTGTTGTCTCACACGTCGTGACCTTTACTGCTGTCTTGTGTGCATGTCTTATTATTTGCATCGACCGCGCTAACCGGCTGACCAATGAAAAGACGCCAGTCTTTTTGCGGTTGAAAACACAACACAATTCTATCTGCCATGAACTGGGACCCCTTGAGGTGGCATCATGGGGGAAGCTAAACTATCCTCCGGATCAAGACAGAAACGGTCGCAACAGGAGATTACTGACGCGTCTACCAAGGCTGGTACCTTGCACTCGTGTTCGTTTTGGAGTGCTTTCACCATTAACCTTCCTTGTTATCGCCACCATCATTCTCATCATCCTTTTGACAGCAATCTTTTGGCAGTTCTTCCCTAGCCCTGCGTCTTTTGGGGAAGGTCATCTGGCTCGAACCCTTTGCTCTCTTCCACTCCTCCTCCATGTTTTCCTCCTCCGTCGTCGTCTTTGTCCTCCTTTCTTCCCTTCCCCTTTCCTTCGTCTCCGTCACTCCAAAAATAGTCACCCTCATTACTATCTTTGTCGCAGAGATCCCAGCCGATCGGCCGTGGTGGAAGTTGGTCGATCAGTAGCCCATGACGTTTGAACGTATCGCGAGTTCGCACCGACAGAAAACGAGCTAGCTCGAAGGTAAACCGTCTCCGAATCGTGGTAAAGTGTGAAAAGCTTTCAAGCGAACCAAGGCTCTTTCGTCGTCGAAATTCCCCCGGCAAAAAGCTTCGTGCGCCAAGTGGTAGGCGATAGAAAGCAACGATGAGTCGATTGGTGCCTTTGCCAAGACCACCGTACGTTGAAAAAGCAGCGTAAGAAGGGTAGATCTAGACGGGTCGAAAGTTCCCGCATAGTGATTTGCCCTACTTGCAGCTCGATCTTCGAGAGCGGATCCTGGCGTTTGGATCGACTTGTCGATGCTTCGATTTGCAATTGGATTTGCGATAGTAACATCCAGAAGAATTGACTTGGTGCAAAGTTCCTCTTCCTTCTCTCCTACGTGTAATCCTGGTAATCCTGGGGGGATTACCAAATCCATCTTGTAGAGCCCCTTTCCCCTACCAGTGCCTGTAGTAAATGGGGAAGAATGCTCAACTGCGATGGGCATATGACACTATCGTAAGTGTGTTGAGGATTGCTCGAACCATCCTGTCATGGACGAAGGTTGAAGCGCCGGTCTTGGTGTATACGAGGGAGTGGGCTCGGCTCAAGCGGTCCTTGCATGGAGACAATGCACCTGACCACAAAGTTTGCCTGTGTCGCAGTCTGTTCGATCGTGACTCCCCAGTACACGACCGATTGACTCCCGATATAGATCGGGCAGCATTCTTTCATCTGCTGACAACCCTTGTGCATGTGTGTATAAGACATTCTTTCTACTTTTTTTTAATGCCTTTGAGTGCGTGCGTGTATTGGGTTGGGTGTACTCACACAAAGCGAAACTGGCGGCGTCTGTTGCAAGTTACCTCATCACGGCGAGCCGGGGGCAGCTAGACAACACTACGTGACAACAGCAGTATCATTTTAGTCTCACACCTACAGCCCCCTATTCGCCCCTCTTTTACTGACATATCCCAAGTGTACGTTTCGAACGGGAACGATGGTGTGCGCTCTTTCGGCACGCGTATGTTGAGATAAAACCTCAAAATGTCGCACATTACGGGCTTTGTGTACCGTATACGACACAAGATAACAACCCCCCTGGACCAAATTTTCAAAGGTCGATTTATCAAGAACAGAAAGAGTCGCAGCGCCGAAAACGGCGGCGTTGAAGCCGTCTGGTCGAGATCTCTCCGAAAACGCATCGTTTCGTTCATGCATCATCTTCGCCGTGGCGTAATCGGCCTTTGAAAATCGGTCCAGGGTGTGTGTTATCTTGTGTCGTATACGGTAGATAGATGCAGCTTACCGGAGATACACCTGAAGGCCGGTGCTTCACAGTCCTGTATGCATACGTGGCATGTGATGCTCCGCAAGTACTGTAGCCAGTTTTAGCTCGTAATGCTATCTGTCTCCGCGCATGTTCATTCAATGGTTTCTGGCAGCAAACGCCACATCCGCTGGTTGCGTAATTGACTATATGCGACAGAACCTGCTGGCGCGAGAAACATTAAATCACTTTCCAACGCCTGCCTCAAATATGTAGCCTCGTTGTGAACATCGTTGTCGACGGCCTCTTTCCTCTCGTGTTCTTGGAGCTTGTCATTTTTTCCACACGCTTGACGGACGTGCCTTTTTCCCGCTGCAATCGAGTGTTCCACGGTGTCGTGGCGTACGGTATCCCAGAGTGTAAACAGCCAAATCGACCACACGCTTTTCTTGATATTTTTTTCGTCGAACCCATCGACGTATACCTGCCTTCTCCCCCCACTGTTTTTTTTTCTGTGCATGTGTCTTCATTATGTGTTTTCGTCGACCGGCTGAATGTGTGTGTGACGTGATGTGTGTTTTCTGTTTATATTACCATCGACCGCGCCATCCGTTGTGTGTCTTTATTCTTAGCATCGATCGCGCTAACTGGCTGACCAATGAAACTACGTCAGTCTCAGCGCGGTTGAAAGCAGAAACTGATCCTTTGTATTTTATGTGTGTTTTTTCATCTTGTTGAAATGATCACTGCATGTTTTTTCATCTTCTTGAAATGATCCATGCCAGGGTTTTACCACAAGAGCCTGACCAATTATAACCATATCTGTGTGCGTGTTTTCACACCGCTGTTGAAATGTATCGTCAATGTCAGGGTTTTACCACAAGAGCGCCAAGATCTCGGCTGTCCAATGAAAACCACATGTGTGTGCGTGTTTCCACACTCTTTTTGAAATTTATCGTCAATGTCAGGGTTTTACCACAAGAGCGCCAAGATCCTCTTCTTGGGGCTCGACAACGCGGGAAAGACAACCCTTCTGCACATGTTGAAGGAGAACAGGGTACAGGTGCACCAGCCCACGCTGCACCCGAACCAGGACGAGCTCATCGTGGGGAAGGTGTGTTCGTGTGCGTATCTTTTGTCATTGGCGTCGGCCGCGCTAACCGGCTCACCAATGAAAAGACGTCAGTCTTTGTAGATAGCGGGATAGAACACACGATCAACGTTCTCTCTGTGTGTGTGTGCGTGTCTTTGTCATTAACGTCGACCGCGCTAATCGACTGGCCAATGGAAAGACGCCAGTCTTGTAGATACTGTAGCGGGATAGAAAACATGATCAACGTTCTCTCTCTCTCTCTCTCTGTGTGTCTTTGCCATTAGCATTGGCCGCGCTAGCTCGCTGACCACCAATGTGATTGTGTGTGCGCTTGTTGGCCTCATCCATTCTGTTGCCAGTCTACACACCTCTCGGTATGTTAAATGTGTGTGACGTATCAGCAGCGATCACACATGAGGAAGTTGAGACAGAAAAATAACGGAGACGGATCAAAGCAGGAGACCGCGGGGGGGGGAGGGGGAGAGGGCGAGGGCGAGGGCGAGAAACTATTGTTCAACAAGAAACGTCAGTAGTTGTGGTTTTTTGCTGTGCACCAAAGCATTCCCTCTACCTCTCTCTCGTTTGTTTTCGTCAATTACGTACCTTTTTTACGTCTGTCCTCAAGAGTATTTCTTGCTGCTTGTTTCTTCGTCGAACACCCTTTCGGTATTGTGGCCTTGACTCGTTCTTGCTTGCCTACTGCTGTTGTTGCTGCGACGCGTCGTTTCGAACTTCAGGTTCGCTTCAAGACGTTCGACCTTGGAGGCCACGAGACGGCGCGAAAGCTGTGGAAGGACTACTTCACCACGGTGGACGGCGTTGTCTTCCTCGTCGATGCGCTGGACCGGCAGCGGTTCCCGGAGGCGAAGAAGGAGCTTGACGTGAGACCCTTTTTTGTTTTGTTGTTGCTGGTGTAGTGGTTGCGTTCGCCGGTTTTTGGAAATGCGTCTTCGTTTTGGTTCTCTATTTTTTTTTTCAGTTTTTGGAAGCGCGGGCGGGTGATAGCAGCTTGACGTGAGAACGTTTTGGGTGTGTCGGTTTGTCGTGTTGTTGTCGTCGTGTTGTTTGTTTGTTGCTTGTGTCGTCGCTTTATTTTCTGGTTCTCAATGCGTTGTCGTTTTGGTTAGTGTTTGGCAGCGCGGGCAATGACCGCAGTCGCGGCGCGAGTGGTCGCCCCACGTCGGCGGTCGCCTCCCGTTGTGCTTACCGGCGGAGGAGCCCCGCCCACGAACAGTCAGTCGTGTTTTTCGATGTCATGGTCGTAGGGGCTCGTGTTTACTTCATCTTCTCCCCTCGCCCGTGTGTCGTCTTGGAGACGCGACCCCGACTGCTGCTTACGTTGTGCTGTCATCGTTCGCTCTTACGTTTGCGCTCTCTCTACTGCATTCATCGCTGTCTCCCCGTCATGTCTCCGCCCACCTGTGTGTCGCTGGCAATTCCTGGTCTCATTTTTTCCAACCTCCATCTACCCACTCTCCCTCTGTCCGACCCTGCCTGAACACCGTTGTCGTTGGCTCTCTCTCTCTCTCTTTCTCTGTCTGTCTGTCTGTCTGTCTGTCTGTCTACCTATGTATGCATGCCTCTGTCGCCATCTCTCGATGCCGCTCAATGTATCCATCTATCTCCGGGACGGGACGGAAACGGAAACGGAAACGGAAACGGAAATGGAAACGGAGCAGTCCCTTCTGACGGACGAGAACCTGCAGACTGTGCCGTTCCTTGTCCTGGGGAACAAGATCGACATGCAGGCGGCCGTGAGCGAAGACGAGCTCCGGTGAGGCAGAAACGACACGTTATAGTTATCAGACCACACGCAGACCGACGGGCAGAGAGATCGACAGGCAGGCAGACTGACGGACTCGCAGACGGAAGCAGACACATACACACACAGACAGGCCGATAGACGGACTCACAGGCAAGCGCATAGCAGGCATGACACACCCGGCACCGGAAGGGGAACTACCATGCCATGCCAACAGGTACACGAGAGAGATGTTGGCTGACTGACATGCAGACTGCCAAACAGGCAGGCAAGACGTTAGGATAGCAAATAGGACACCCCCCCCCGCGTCAAGTCAAGGGGACTACCATACAAATCCCAACAGTTGTGCTGCGGGCGGGTACCCACGAACGAGTATGTGTGTTTGTTGCTGATCTCACGAGCTGAGGTGCCCCCCTCCCCCCTCGCTCCTCTACAAGTAGCCTTCGGCGACGAAAAGCGCCTCTTAGAGAAGCCGAAATCAAACCATTAGACTAGCCGGCGCTGACTAGTCTGCGCTGACTAGTCTAACGGTTTAACGGTTGGATATGGGCTTCAATAAAATATAGGTAGTGGCGTGAGCCCCGGCACTTTCACTTCCGAGAAGGGCGGCTCCCCTTGCCAGCGATACTATCCGCCAAATCCTTATTTCGCTTCATATCGCTCGCCACCCACATCCTGCAGAATGTTCCAGGGTCTCAGACGATACTCTACACGCAGAAGTCGGCTCGTAGAATCGTCTGTTTTTTTTTCGTGCGGGGTCCGCCGACCTCCATTCTGGTACTCTTCGCACTCGCCATTTTTCATGCGTTTTTAAACGTCGGGGGAGGGTCACATTAGCGTAGTGTGTGGACGCATGCCTTCCGTGGGGTGTTTTGCGCAAAGTCAACAATGTTAGTGATGGGACCTTTGGACCTTCTAAACTTGTTGTTCATGGGGGGGGGTGTCGATGGGAGGGGTGTTGGAGACGGCTCGTACATGGGAGCTCTCGGCCCGGCGGAGTGAGTGATTGACTTGGTTTGGTGGAATGAAGAGCCCCGATTTTTTCACCCGGTGCTGTATGATAGGCATGGCATGGGGTTTTCGGCGATAAAGAGTCTCGAATACAAGCCGTACCAATACCTCAGGCGCTGGATAGAAATTGGACTCCGAACCGCGGTCAACATGAAGACAACCCTCCCCAAGAAGGAAATCCAACAACCCAACCACCACCACCACCAACTAAAATCAACGCGACGTTATTCTCCCTTGTTTCGTCTTCTGTGGTGGCACGGTTGCGCGCTTTTTTTTCTTCGGGGGTGTGGTGTGCGTGGCAGGTATGCGATGGGGCTCTACGACACGTTCGGGAAGGCGTCCAAGCCGGACTCGAACCCCGGGGTGCGGCCAATCGAGCTCTACATGTGCTCCGTGGTGAAGAGGATGGGCTACTCGGACGGTAAGCTTGCTACGTGCGTGAAGGGGGGCCGTTGATGTAACGCCGTACCGTAATGCCATTGCATTTGATGAGAAGGCCGTTTCACTGATGAGAACGCCATATACCATTGATGAGAACGTTATGCCATCGAGGGGGTAATAGTCATAACCTTTGATGATAACGCTATACCGTTGATGAGAACGCCATACCATTGATGAGAACGTCATACTGTTGAGAACGTCATGCCGTTGATGAGGACGCCATACGGGCCGTACCTCGGGAAGAGAAGCTTAGCCCCCCCTCCCCCCCCCGCGTGCCGCGTACAGCAGCGTCCTACCTTACGACGAGAGAGAGGTGCTTGTAAGAGAGATGTCAAGGCAAATACCTCCCCCACTGTGCGGCAGCGGCGGTTCCCGCTCCGTTAGTCCCCACGCCAGACGTGGCAGGTCTTTCTCCCATGCTAGTGTTGATTCCAACTGCGTTTCACCCATACAATGCCAAATGTGGGTCGAATCGGTGGGTTCCACAATTTGGGATGGTTCTTGTTCTAAGGACACACCACCGTGTCTGCTTCTTCCAGTGATGATACCGTAGTGCTGCTGTATCATGGGCATGTGTGCTGACCCCCCCCCCCAAACCCTCTTGTGCATGCTGTCTCTCTCCCTCCCTTTTCCCGCGGTTCGAACAGGCTTCAAGTGGCTTTCGCAGTTCATCTAGATATAGAAATATCCATGTGGCCAGGTTGTCCGGACGGTCTTGCCTTGTAGACGGAAGGAAAGTGCGGACTTGGCACACTACTACCTTCGGAGGGCGAGGGGGGTAGGGGGACGGGGAGGGGGGGGGGGGGGGAATAACTTTCCTCGAAATCGCTTTTTGAGCATGTCGGGGATTCCTCGCCGAACTGTAACGTTTTCCGCAGATTATCAAGAGAGTTGGCACATGTTTCAACAACCGCTTGCTTTGGGGCTAACGCTCCTTCCTCCCTATCGCGGGGATTCCCAGGTCGCTTTAGTGATGAATCATCAGCCAGGGGTTTCGGCCGTGATGGAACAGGTCACCCCTTCGTAATCGTGCTCCCTAACGTAAGACGGGAGTAAGTAAGTAGAGGTTGGGGGATGAAAAAGGCGACCTGCCTCTGTCTTTCATGTCAGTCTACCAGAGGTGGCCGGGGGGAGGCGTGGCTGACGAAGGAAGGAGTACCAAGAGCAGTTTGTCTCTGTTCGGAACAGTGATAACAAAATAATGTTGTATGGAATTTTTCGCGCGATCGCGGCAAGCGACCGGTCGGCGAAAGCGTGACTGACTGGCCGCAGTTTTGAAAAGGGTTGCTTTATCACATCAGGCGAGAGTACGAACTGCTGTGCTAGGAAGGGTGGTACGGAATCTGGCGCGTGGAATAAATTGCGGTCAGCACGCACGCGTCCGTCGCTGAAGAAAGCTTCAATGCTGTACTATTTTTGGGCCTCGAACGTGATTCTGCTGCTGCGTGCTTCACTCCCAAATCGTGTTGACGCGCCCAGGGCGCATCAACTCTGCTTTCGCGCGTGCGTGTGGTACCGCTGCTGAATGAAGCCAGCTGTGGCTTAATTTGCGGTGAATGTCTTTCTTTGGATGTGGGTGTTGTTCCCAAGCATCATGTTCCGCGAGCATTGATGGGCGTTTTGGGCGGGCCTGCGCCCCCTCCCCCCAATGTATTTCTGAAAAAAGGAAAAACTGAGCAATGAGCAATGCCATATCTTTCACTGATTCGCAGAGGGAAGCACAAGTCCTTCGGGAATGGATCCGTCTGGTTTTGTCCGTATGACCGAACAACCACCGCACGCTCGAGTTGCTCCGGAAATTGGCGGAACACGCGAAACACCCCCGTTCATATCTATCTGTACAAAACGCGTGCGCAATACATACGCATGTATATGTATATGTGTGTCTGTGCTGCATGAGTTGCGTGTGCCAAGAGCCCCACTACTACTGCTGTAGGGGAGAGACGAAAAAGCTTGAGATTGTACAGCGAAATCGAACGAAGAGGGTAAAAGGAAGCAATATGTCTCATGTTCCTGTGCCGCGCATGGCATGTACTCCAGTGCCGGGTTTTGGCAAAAACGCCATCCCCCAGCCAGCCTGCCTTCTCCGTCGTCGTCCGTGTGGCACGTCGTTGCGTCACTTCAAAAAACATGTGTGTGCATGAAGAGTCGCGAACATGTAGTGTAGTATTCTGCGACAACATGTAGACAGAAGCAGGAGAGACCGGTCAAGCCGATATGTCATTAAATATTCCACTCGCGGGAATGTGAACCCAATGCACCACCCGCTTGTCCCCGCCAAAGTTACGCGCTATTTTCCCTTAGAGGTGATACCTCGGTCCAAAACAAAGCAGAGGGTTATGCATACTACACTTGAAATCATCTTTCACTGAAACAAAAAAGATCACAACCTCGTGTTCTTCGTGTCACGTACGTACTTCGTAATCCTCTGTTCCACAGTACGACGTCTTGGTGGTGACATCACGTAAGCTTAGGTAGGCGGGACAGATTCAGATCCAAAAGTGTCGGTCAAAGACGGAAACAAATCCAACACACGATGTGGTGACGACCAAAAACGAACATAAAAAAAATATCTCGAATATTTCTCGCCCAACCCGTCAACCAAGTACCAGAACAGACAAAATCCAAATCACGGACCATGCATTGTACATCAAACTAAGAAAGACCAGAAGTAGTATTTACTTTCACATTCATCACACACCGCACGCATCTATGCAAACAACCAACCAAGAAGCAGTTAAATCGGAACCATGGGACCAACAGGAAATGGCATCATCGAGGCATAGCCTGCCGGGTTGTAGCACTTTCACACCGCATCACGCTCCACCAATCTTCTGTAACACCCAACCCCAGCATTCCAGTTTGGAGAAGCGCGCACACTGTACGTTCACTTCAGAGCGATGTTCGGTACAAGCTCCCCTCTCCGAGGCCGGCGACAAAACCGCCAAGAAAATTAGAGCGTGACTAGCAGTGTTTCGAAGCGGCAAGCGGGGAGGAACCAACAACACAGCAGCATTTTGTTTCTGACAACAGCACTACGAAACACGCATTTCGAAAAGGTGGTGTCGGAAAAGAGAGTGTCAATCAAGCCAACAATAACCGAATCGCGATGCAAAGACAAACCAACAACCAGAGACAGACTCTAAAGGCTACCATGTCCCTCCAGAATACACCAAGCACGCGCCGGAAGAGACAAGAGCCACCACGACGTATAAAATACTTCGCATCCACGAAAAAATGCTATTATCAAAAATACTATCGTCGCACTTTGAATGAGTCTCCCAAGACAGGAGAGGTCTGGGGTGGCCCGGTCGGGCACCTCTTTCCCTTCCAGACCATCCATCGATAACGCCTGGACGCCCCCACCTCCAGCAACAAGAGAATCCGACCGACCAGCAGCAGCAACAGGAACGAACAAAACGTGGATGTTTGTCGGCACACACTCCTGTTGGGCACTATCCCTGACCAAATTTCGACCGCGCTCCTCGCTCCTTCCTCCCTACAGTACGCAGTTGGTGGCACACCAACCTGGCACACCAACCACAGATCAGAGAGGACAATAGCGCACATCTATGTCACGATAACATAACTGTTTACCAAAACACAGCAGTGCCCCATCAATGGGCCAAAACAGTCGTCACATGCACCACCTACTACATCCGGCTACTGCACAGAAACACGCACGTCTCGAGCGGAAAACCAACCCGGGCTATACCAGACTGGCTTCGAACGAACATGGAGTGCGTGTCCACACAAAGTCCTTCCGCTTTCCACACGGCAGTCAGCAAAAGTGGGAGCGACAACACACAAAAAAATCACCACCCTTGAGGGAGCAAAGAGCCACGACAGCGAGAGACACCCCCCGTTATGACTTTGTGCGCGGGGCACCAACGGCTGCGAGAAAAAAAAAGAAGATGAAAATCGGTGGGGCGCAGGTGAAAATGTACACCTGGACACCTTCATGCAGAGAGACAGGAAGAGAGAGAGAGAGAGAGAACGAAGACAGAGACTAGACAAGACACAACGGTACACAAAAGCGACAAACGTGGGTGCCCTCTCCGACTGTGGGCGGCAGGAGGAAGCGCCAGCACTATTTATCGGTGACCTACACCACACAAAAGGTAGACACCTTGGAACCAACCGTGATCCGGCGCAACCCATGTGCGTGCATCACGCCTCCAAACCACAACTGCCCCCACCTCCCCCACCCCGCAACGGCACAGAAACGCTCACGTGCAAACGGAACGCTGAATGAACCGCACATTTTCACGTCACAGCTATCTCTCTCCTCCAGCAAGTGAGCAACACGCATGTGTAAGGTACCGGCAACCGTGAAGAATCCGTGTTATCAAGAAACAAAAGCGATCACCACTCAACAGCCACCCTGACTACCGCAGGCACCAAGGAAACCTTTAAAGTACCTAGGCAACCGATGAAGAAGCGGGTGGATCCCCCCTAACACCCTGTCCCGCCTAACAAATGAAAAGTCTAAAACATCACGACAAGAGACAAGAAAGCGAGGCCAGCCATCGCTTTCTTCCTCGTTTCACGCCGCTGTGGCTGTTGCTTTCCCCCCCCCTTCAAACGGCAAAAACGTGCTAAATCAGTGAGCAAAACAGTTTGCTTCTTCGTCCGGCCAGCGTCATCGGCGGAACAGAAAGAAAAAAAAAGGAGGGGGCACGTCCGACCGACCGTGAGGGGGGGGGGCGGGGGGGGGGGGGCCCCCCCCCTAAAAATGATAAATTTACTGAATTGGGGAATGGGCCCCCGAAACCACCC